GGGGAGGCTTATTTTGGCCTCCCATGAATCTGTTAGAGATAACATAGTTTTTCCTGATGCACAGGTGGTGCCACAAGATCTAATTAAAGGCCAGCTGTCAAATAAGGGGCATGCAAGCCCTCTGAGGTGCGTGCAAGCCTTCTGATCTCACTACAATGACCTTCTGTGTTCCCCTCACCCTATACAATCTGTGGACTGAGGTCTGGATTTCGTGGAGAATTAACTATGCAGCTGCTGTGGACTGTCCTCCACCTGAATCCCTCTGTCAATAAGTTACCCTGAATAAAACTCTATGGAAACTGTATGGAGTGGCCTGCTTTGTTTTCTGGTCTCAAAGTGCCTTCTTAGCTTGGGGATACTTTACTGTCCATCCTCTACCTTCTAACATGCTCCCTGTAGGTTATTCCACAACCCTAGGTAGGACAGCGGAAAAACCAACCGCCCAATGTAACTGATACACCCAAAGCTAAAGAGTAAGCTCCTCTCTATATGGTTAGCTAATTAAAAAAAAACCTATAAAATGCTTTACTAGAAGCAAAGGGGCATAACTCTTCCTCACCCAGGAGAAGAGACCATTACTTTGTGAAGTAGCTCCTGATGTGGGAAACAAAGGCAAAAGAAAAAATTAAATTTCCTACTGCCTACAAGTCCTTGAAACAGGCAGAGTGACATATTCCTCTAGGAACTCAGCTGCCTTTATGTTAATACTTTGCCGAGGGCAAAAGGCAATCTTAGCCTGACCCTCAGGATCCTGTGAGTCTACTCTAACACATAAAAATTCCTTTGAAAACCTCCATTATCTCTACTCCCCACCCCAAGATACATGTTAGCAATCATCCTCTAAGCATATGGCCCACTAATCTACATCTGAAAGGTCTCATGACTCAGGTTTTATTAGACAATAATAAATGACCTTTTCCCAACAATAGCTAGCCCCCTCAAGGTCCTGGAAACGATGCTTCCAAAATTCCTTAGAGATTTACGCTATCCCTAACCCCCTCCCAACTTGAAAGTATATAATGGGCCACTCCTCATAACCCCAGTGCAGCTCTTTCTGCCTGTCCCTGTCCGTTAATAAAACCATCTTTTTGCACCAAAGACGTTAATTCTTTTTGGGCTGTTGGCTCCCAACTCCAACATTGCCACATCACTCGGCGCCTGAACGTGTGGGTCAGTCTTTTCATCTGGATTCTGAACTTCTCTGTAAACTTGGTATTTTCTCTTCTCTTCCTTTACTCTCATACATATCAGGAGCTTTTCATGGAGTACGGTCTTTTTTTTTTTTAATAATTTTATTTTTTTCAAGAATTTTTTATTTATTCATTTGAGACAGAGAAAGAGAGCGAGCGAGCGTGCGAGCAGGAGCAGTACGGAGAGGAAGAGGGAGGAGACTCCCTGCTGAGCAGGGAGCCCAACATGGGGCTCGATCCCAGGACCTGGAGATCAATACCTAAGCCGAAGGCAGACGCTTAATCTAAGCCACCCAGGTGCCCCCATGGAGTATGGTCTTATAACACTTTCAGGTCAACTGCTTAGGCTGCAATCCTTTAGCCTGGGGCTACTCTACAGGGAGGAGAAAGCCTGCCTTCTGGCTAGAAGTTAGTACCCTAGCCAGAATGGTAGTAAGACCCAGAAACTTGATGCCCTCCTTTATTCCTGTCCTTATACAAAGTTGTGTTTTTTGGGCACAGGACAGCCACCTAAGTTGCTAGCACAGCTGCCAATCTTAAGACTCCCATGTGAGGTTTCCTCCTCACTGGTTTAATGTGATGTTCACATCTCTGGTCTAGTGATCTCTGGTCACGAGACTTCGACTTGGAACCGGCTGAAACCAGTACCCAACTGAATTAAAGCCCAACTGGGACCATTTCCTAGAGAAGTTGGCTGTAAAGACTACATGTGTTGGAATGTGGCTTAGACCATAATGAATTTCTATCTCCAGGCTTCTGTCAATGTCCTCCACTTACAACAAACTATAGGGGCAATTTCCCCTTGTAAAAACTTCCCTAATGTTTTCCATGGGTTAAAAATGGGGGGTTCTTCAGGGCAAGGCAAGGTATGGTATCTCGGTCCACATGCTGGCACCCATTTTACAGTCTAGGATTCGATAGGGAAGCTGGGGGATGCGAGCATCCCTCCTACCGGGACTTTAATGGCATGGCGGTGATCATAGCAATTTCATTCAAGGGGCTCCTCGGGCTGCTTTGACACCAGGAACCTCTGACAAGCACAAAAACTGTCTATACATGAGCTATTGTGGCAATTTCTCTGAAGTTTACCTCAAGTTGTCTAGCTTAGGCAAACAAACATTCAAAGACAATGAGAACTAGAATTTAATATCTGCAAAGGTGGGTTACTGAAACATTTTTCTCACTGTAATCACTCTCATTTCCAGAAATAGCCAAATTAAGACTAATTTGTTTGTAAAACAAGTCACAATCTTGGCCTTAATTTTTCCTTTTGCCTTTGTTTCCCACATCAGTGTCACTTAGGCCAAGTCAACAAACTGGGGTTTATATTTATTTATTTGACAGACAGCGAGAGAGCACAAGCAGGGGGAGCGGCAGGCAGAGGGAAAGGGAGAAGCAGGCCCGCTGAGCAGGGAGCCCTGACTGGAAAGCGGCTGCTTAACCATCTGAGCCACCCAGGTGCCCCCAAACTGGGGTTTAATATCTAACCTAACTGCAGTGTCAGCCTCCCCCAGAAATGTTTTAACTGAGTCAGTCAGGAATTTTCTGGTCATCACCACTGAGGTAATCTGTTACCTAGGCCCTCTCCATCCCCAAAGGCAAATGAGATCATCTGCATGATAAGACCCCCTGCCCTTTCCCCCAAGTGATAGTGACCTTGCCTGGAATCCTTTTCTTTTGCTATTAACTCCTTGCCCCACCCTCCTTCTTATAAAAACCTTCCATTTTGTACAACTCTTGGGAGACCCTACTTGCCAGATGGGATGCTGCCCGATTCATGAATCGTTTAATAAAGCCAATGAGATCTTCAAATTTGCTCGGCTGAATTTTGTTTTTTGGCAGGGCCCTCACTCCATCTGAGATGCTCTGAGCCCAATATCTAGAAATCTTCTTGACTGTCCTCTGGACTCAGAAACGGAGTTTACGGTTTGTTCCGACTATTAACCGTTTTCTTTTGTTTCCATAAAAAAAGGCCTCTTATAAAATAGGTGACTGCTCATGCAAAGTAGAGCCCCCCTGCAATAAATACCACCTCCTGAAATGAGACACAACTGTTTAGTCTAATGTATTCTCAGAACTAACAGACTCGTTCAAAGACATGAAACTTCTTGGGGACGCTTCAAAGACGGGAATGAAGGACAGCAGAATGCGCCAACCCAAAATACAGCTCTTTGGCATCAAGATTATTTTGAGGAACAGCAGACGGGCTGGGCATGGAGCCTACTTAAAAAACAAACAAAAACAATAGAGAGTAAAGAAACCCCTGCATTACTTACATCCTTCCCTCTTCAAATGGTAACTGATGTGGGGAATAAAGGCAGATGGAAATGTAGTTAAAAATAATTTCCTTATATCCTGCAGCCAATTGACAAATAACTTGAGGCAGACAGAGCAGGACATTCCTCCAGGAAACTCCCAAGGGTCTTAATGTTTTGCTAGAGGGAAAAACAACTTTAGCTCGACAATAGCCAGGCTTCCAGGATCAGTGAGTCGTCTTTAGCATATGAAAGACTTTCGGAAACTTCCCTTGGTCTTCTCTTCCCCAACCCCAAAGTGTATAATCAATTGCTCCTCACAATCCGAGTGCAGCTCTTTTCGGCCCAAGGGTCCTGTCCCCGTGCTTTAATAAAACCACCTTTTTGCAAAGACATCTCGAGAATTCTTTCCTGGCCATTGGGTCCAGGCCCCAACATTTCCACATCAGTAACCAATGCCTCGATATTCTCTGTTTTATATTTGACATTTAAATATTCTTTATGAGAGAGTGGTTGTTCCTACCAGGAAAAAAGGTTTTGAGCTCTTCGATCCTTTGAGGAGATACAGATTTATATGAAGGCAAACGTTTCCAAGAGCCATCTTCAGTTTTCTTCATGAACTGGTCAAAAAGGAGTCTCATGTCCTTGCTCCAGCTGGAGTTGGGGAGAGAATGGTCCACATAAATGACCTCTGAAGAAAATGACCTCTAAAAGAAAGAGAGGAGAAAAAGAAGAATGGAGAGTGAACCCTATCTTCTAACATACTCTATTTTCTGAGACTATCTTGCTGCCTCTTCCAGAAGTTGGTCATTTCAGAGTGGAAGCACATTTTAAGAATCAGCCGATCCAACCTCCTTGAGAGGAGAGATTGAGAGAGAGGGTAAGTGATTTGCTCAATGTCACCCAACTAGCTACTAGCAGAGAAGCATTAAGCTCAGGTCTGTGGATTCCTTTCTTTTAAAACAAAACCAAACAAAACACCTTAATCAAGCACAGGTGAGCCAGGAACTGGGGATAAACAGATGAAGGACACACATTTTCCTCCATGTAAAAAGTGTTACCAGTGGGGTATGCAGGAGCCAGAGCACAGGGGAGAGGTGTTTATAGATAGGGGGTAAGGGGGGTTCAGGGAGGAGTTCTTTGACCTGAATCTTGATTTTGATGTAGGGAAGATGTTAGGGTTCGAAGCCAATGGCCAAGAAAGAATTCTTGAGCCGTCTCCAGTGCAAAAAGTGGTTTTATTAGAGGACGGGAACAGGACCATGGGCAGAAAGAGCTGCAATGGAGTCGTGAGGGGTGGTGATTATATACCTTCAAGTTGGGAAGGGGTTAGGGATAGGCTAAGTCTCTAAGGAATTTTGGAATCAAGGTTTCCAGGATCTTGAGGGGGCTAGCTATTGCTGGGAAAAGCTCATTTATTACTGTCTAATAAAACCTGAGTCATGAGACCCTTCAGATTTTTATCAGTAGGTCATATGCTTGGGGGATGATTGCCAACATGTAGCTGGTAGGGGTAGAGATAAAAGGAAGTTTCCAACGGAATTTTTAGATGTTAAAGCAGACTTACAGGATCCAGGGGGGCGGGCTAAGATTGCCTTTTGCCCTCAGCAAAGTATTAACATGGAGGCAGCTGAGTTCCTAGAGGAGTATGTCACTTTGCCTGTTTCAAGGACTTGTCAATGGGCTGTAGGCAGTAAGGAAATTTACTAATTTTTCTTCTTTGTTTCCCACATCAATTGAACAAGCAGAAATTAGCCAGCTAGAAAGGGTATTGTAGGTATACGCAAAAGCAAGGAGGCATGACAGTTTTATGGGGCCTCATAACAACCACCCTTATGAAATACTTATGAAGTAGGTACTAATTATTATCCCCATTTTACAGATGATAAAACTAAGGCCTAAAAGAAGCTTGGCTTTGTTTCAGTGCAAGGGGAAGAGCAGATGGCTACAGAGATGCAGACAAGGGCTTGGCTGGGAGAACTTCCATACTAGCTAGTTGGCCTGAACTGGTGTGTATCTGCAGTTGTTCCCAGAGGGATTTCAATAGGGAAATGACAAGATCTGATCTGGCCATCATAAGAAAGATAGTGGGAGGGACCAAGACTGGATGTGAGGACCCTGTGTTGAGGCTTTTAGAGGTAACCCACGTGAAAATTACGACTGCATGAAGCAGATAAGGAGTAAGGGAAGAGTAAAAATACAAACACCAACCCCAGGTTTCTGAATTATGCAACACAGTGAGTGACAGAGCCAATTACCAAGAAAGAGAATATACGGAGGAGGAGGAGGTTGGGGCGGGACAGGTGCTTGGTGTCATAGTAACCATGGCTTCCACCCATGCTATTTCTCTGCAGCACTGAGCAATGCTACCACTCATGTGCCCAGGCAGCAAGTGGAATGGTGCAGAGGCCCTGGAGGGGGACAAAGGGTGACTTACCAAGGAGGACAAAGCAAATGGCCATAGGCACTGGAAAGGAAAAAAAATTTTTGGGGGGGGATCTTTTTTTTTTTGGCTTCAGCAGAAATCTTGGAATATTTAAGATCACAGAAGCTATCAACTCTATGGCATTCCACTTCCAGTCACCCTTGTCAATTCAGATTCAATGTATCTACAGTTGGACTGATGTAGGAAAGACGTTATTAGGTTTCGAAGCCGATGGCCAAGAAAGAATTCTTGAGAAGTCTATGGTGCAAAAAGGTGATTTTATATTAAAGCACAGGGACAGGAGCCGTAAGCAGAAAGACCTGCTGCACTGGGGTTGTGAGGGGTGGCTGATTATATACTACTGGGTTGGGGGAGGTAAGGAAAAAGGGAGGTTTCAAATGAACTTTCATGTACTAAAGAGGACCTACAAGATACTGGAGGCCTTGCCATTGTCAAGGTTGTTTTTCCCTTCTACCAAGGCATTAAGATTAAGATAGTTGGGAGATTCCTGGAAGAATGTCACACATGTCCATGTCCCACCAGGAGTGGGGGGTGGGGGTAGGTTGCAGGGTGTCAGCTTATGCTCTGTCTTCAGCCAGCCTTCTGTTCCCTCATCATGGACCACACCCCGATATCAAAACAGCAAGGCTGTGCTGTGATGGAAGAACCAGCCAACCAGCCTTCCACTGACATGCTGACACCTCAGCTGGCTCTGATCTGGCCGGCTCTGATTCTGGCCTCATCGTTAAGAATATAGGCAGCCTGTCTCAAAAACTCCACAAAATTAACTCCTTGACTGAACAGAAGGAAGTATCAACTTCATGAGGGGAAATGTGAGCAGGGTCGAGACTACTCTACCTCCTAGCCCAGGATTTGTGCCTTTGTTTTTTTCCTATGGTTTTGGATTCGCTATCTCTTTAGAACCCAGTTCAGAAAATTTGGGAAAGAAAAGAAAAAACAATTTATGGGCGCCTGGGTGGCTTAGTTGGCTAAGTGTCTGCCTTCGGCTCAGGTCATGATCCCATCCAGCCGAAGCAGGCTCCCTCTGCCCTTCCCCCCACTCATGCTCATGGGCACGCGCTCTCTCTCAAAAATAAAACCATTTTTAAAATCCATCCATTATCTCTCCATGTTAAGGCAAACAATGATAAATGTTGATGTCTTTCTACCAACTTTTCTTAAATGTGATCTTTCATTTATTTAGGAGAGAGCAGGTGTGCTGACAGGGGAGGAGTGAGAGAGAATCTCAAGCAGACCGTCCGCTGAGCTGAGCATGGAGCCTGACACAGAGCATGACCCTGAGATCTTGACCTGAAATCAAGAGTTGGTTCCTTAATCAACTGAGTCACCCAGGTGCCCCTAAATGTAATCTTTCTTAATACACTTGTAATTTCAGTAAGAAATGTATTTTTCTTCCTGCCTCACCACTTAAAATTTAGTGCCCACTTTTTCATGTCCTTAATCTCAATTATCACCATTTTCAACAGCAGAAAAACAGTCCTTTAGACTCATTTACTATAATTTACTTAACCAGTTAAGTTAGGCATTTAAAATGTTTCTGATCTTTTGCTGCTTTAAATAAAAATGTTCATTGGAAAATAATGAATATAGCCTTTTCTCTATTTTGGATTATTTCCTTAAAATCCAGTCTCAATCATGTGGCTTTTAAAGTACATGAATTCTGGAAATAAACACAAGTAGTCACAGATAAATATGCACTGAGCAATACACGTCAGTTGAGAGGTAGAACAGAATGTATAGGATTTGGCTCATCCATAGGTCTTATTTAAATAGGCAACTCTAGGATGGATCAGTTCCAGCATCTTTTTATGGACCAGGGTGATAGAGATAATTGAAGACTTTCGTTTAAAGATTTTACTTATTTGAGAGAGAGAGAGAGAGAGACAGAGAGAGAGGGAACACAAGCAGGCGGAGTGGGAGAGGGAGAAGCAGGATTCCTGCTGAATGACTCCCTTGGCTATGGGCTCTCCTACCTGATTTTAACTTTGAAGTGTGGGATTCACCTAAACGCAGTGAACTTTTTAAAATCTGCTATATGCCTGGTTCTGTGCCAGGAACTGGTTCAGACAGAGAAGACTTGGGCCCTGCCCTCAAGTGCTGGCAGCCTCAGGTGTGAAAAATACCGTAAAAGAAGTACAAAAAGACATAAGAGTGACATTCAGGGAAAACTTCAAAAAGATGAGGACTGGGGTGCCTGGGTGGCTCAGTCGGTGAAGCATCTGCCCTCGGCTCAGGTCATGGTCCCAGGGTCCTGGGATCGAGTCCCACATCGGGCTCTCTGCTCAGTGGGGAGCCTGCTTCTCCCTCTGCCTGCTGCCCCCCCTGCTTGTGCTTTCTCTGACAAATAATAAAATCTTTAAAAAAAAAAAAAAAGATGAGGACCGATGGAGTTGATTTCTAAAGGATAAAAAGCTCACTAAGGAGAGAATGGAAGGGCTACACCAAGCAAAGGCACAGAGGTGACACAACTGTTTGACATGATGGGGAAAAACTGCAGGATTTCAGTCTTCATGGATGTAAGGTGCAATGAGAGTAGCAGCCAGATGTGGATGGCAAAGAAGAAGGGGAACACACCATCGAGCCTCTTTGGCCTTAACACAGGGCTTAGATTTCACCTGCTAGGTCAAAGTTTCCAAACACCAAAATGAAAGATGATTTTAGGTAGCACAAGGACTACAGCATATGTATTTTTAAATACATAATATCAAAGGACGTAAATAACACATCACACTTGGTGATCTCACAAACGTTATTCCTTAGGATGAAACTCATTAAAAAAAGGTAGTCTTTAAAAAACCATGAGGGTGGTATATAAATGATAAAATACTTTTTTCCACTATGGGAAGCCTTACAGAGTTATAAGCAAAGAAGTAACATGAACTTAGGTTTTAGAAACCTTGCTCTGGTGTAAAGGATGAATTGAAAGGTGAGAAGAATCGCAGGGAAAGCAGTTAAAACTGTTGCAAAGATCCAGATGAGATATGGTTAGAAGCTGAACTAGGTACAGGGCACCTGGGTGGCTCAGTCAGTTAAGCATCTGCCTTCGGCTCAGGTCATGATCCCAGGGTTCTGGGATTGAGCCCCGCATGGGACTCTGTTCAGTGGGGAGCCTGTTTCTCCCTCTTCCTCTGCCTGCTGCTTCCCGGGCTTGTGCTCTCTTTCTCTGTCAAATAAATAAATAAAATCTTCAACAACAAAAAAAGAAGCTGAACTAGGTAGAGAGAAATGAAGAAAAAAAAAGATTTAAGAGACTTTTAGGATACTGGGATCAAGGGATGTGGAGAGAGACTGATCATAGAGAAACAGAAATAGGAGAGACTTGGATGATTCCAGAATTGTAGCTTTGCAGACTGGGGTGGAAAGAAGAAAGGAGGTTTTTGTTACTGTTTGTGTTAGGAGGGGGAAGAGGAGGAGTGGATCTATAATTTTATTTTATTTTTTTTAAAGGTTTTTTTGTTCCGTTTTTGAGATTTTATTTATTTCACAGAGAGAGAGACACAGCGAGAGAGGGAACACAAGCAGGGGGAGTGGGAGAGGGAGAAGCAGGCTTCCCGCTGAGCAGGGAGCCCGATGTGGGGCTGATCCCAGGACCCTGGGAACATGACCTGAGCCAAAAGGCAAATGCTTAATGACTGAGTCACCCAGGTGCCCCTGGATCTCTTAATTTTAGTTAGAGGCATGTAGATCCTAGGACTTCAGATGAACACTTTGATGTTGTGAGAAAAAAAATAATGAAAGTTTCAGTTCAAGAGGGTAGGAACTAACAGATACTTGATGTAAGGGCACTTGTAAATTCCCAGCACAGGGGCGCCTGGGTGGCTCAGATGGTTAAGCGTCTGCCGAACTCTTGGGATGGAGAGCCCCCCCGGCCACCCCTGGCTCTGCGGGGAGCCTGCTTCTCCCCTCTCCCTCTGCTCATGCTCTCTCTCTGTATCTGTGTCTCAAATGAATAAATAAATAAATAAATAAATTCCCAGCACAGACTGTGTACCTGAGGGATAAATGTTAGAGATAATCATTACCTTTTCTAGCCCTCTGTAGAGGGCTTGATCTTTGGTTATATATTTTTCAAGTGGGACTTGTTAACTAAAGTTATGACTACTTTTTAATGTATTTCCTTTTAAGACTAAGTTACTGAACAGAAAAAAACGACTTACAAAGCCTCTAAGTACTACTGTTAAATATTCTCAACACAGATTACAAGGCATCAACATATAATTAAAGGAACAAATTATCTTTGTTGTTGTGAGAGGAGCACAGGACGTTTTCTTTTCCAAGGTCAAAGATGGTATAGGATTAATAACCAGTCTGCACACATTATTCTTTAAAAGAAAGGTCCAAGAGCTTGCAGTTCTTGCTCAGTACAGAACTGTTCCCTCCCTCTAGGTTCCCTTAGAACTTCATTATAGCATAGTGTTTTAATTTTGCAATTTCATCCTTTTCTTCCAAACTAGATTGTGAACTCCTTGAGAGAAAGGGTTTTCTTACTCATCTTTATATCATCAGAGACGAATGTCTTACATATTGTTGGGGTTTAATTAATAATAATTGAATACTTCAGTGAAGCAAAACATAGGGATGTAAGAACAAGCATTATTTATTTAGTATTAACGCCAGGCTGCGCGTTCAACGTTACCTCATTTTACTCTTACAACAGCCTTTGAAGTTGAGAAACTGGTACAGTTATCCGTTGGGCAGAGGTGATCTGGGTGAAACCCTAGGAAGAGACACCGCTATTCTCGCGAGCATCCTACTGTAAAAGTCAGGAGCGGTACTGCCTAGGTCAGACCCTAACTCCACAACGTGCCTGTGTGTGACCTTGCCCAAACCACGACCCAACCGGTCTCAGTCGCAGCGATATTCCCCGACCTGCTGACCAGAGACCAGCATCTCGCACGCTGCTTCAGACCCGTATCCCCTTCCTGTCCCTCTCCGCCTTTGGACCTCAGGACTGAAGGCCACCCCGCTAACACCGACGTTCGGCGCCGACCTTAGCTTTTACTCTGCGGTCCGGGAGTTGAGGAGCTACAGTTCAGCGCGGCCATCCTCACCGGCTCCCCCCAGACACAGCCTGGCCCAGCCGCCCGCTCCCGGCGCCCAGCTCCCGGACTCACAGGCGGCGGCCGCGAGCCCCGCGCCGGCGGGGGCGTGCCTCCCAACGGGCCGCGCAGGGCCCCGGGCTTGCGCAATCGTGAGGCGCAGCTCCGCAGCATCGCTCCGAGGGCGCGCGGGGCTCCGGCAGACACAGTTGCACGGTTCGCCCGCGCGCCGGCTCTTCACGTGACCGACGGGCCACGTGACCCAGGGGGCGCGGCGTGAGGCGGGCGGGGCGGCGGCCTTAGGTCTCGAGAGACTCTGTGCCCGCGCCAGGCCCTCCGGCTCAACTACTGTTAAGCAACCGCCCCCGCCCCCCGCCCCGGCTGGATGGGAAAGGGAGCGAGGCCTGGGAAATGGGGAGGCCGGGAGGGCCAGCCCCGGCTCGCCCGCGGTTGCCGCCCCCCGCCGCAGCTCCAGCCTACCCCCCGCCCCCGATCCCTCCCGACTGGCGCAGCCGAGTTCTGGGCGTGTAACCATGAAGTTCTTCTCCCTCCGGGAGAAGACAAAAGGCCCTCGGGCAGGTGGGAGCGCACCCTCGGAGCTGTTTCTTGTGGGCCGCGGACATTTCCCTGGGATCGGGTTGGTATTGATTTGTAAAGAGCCTTCCGCCTCCTAAGTGCATTTATACGCTTAAAATGCTCCTTTTCTGCCTTTTCCGGTGCCCCTCGTCTCCCGCCCCCTAAAAGCCCCGGGCCGAGCTAAAAGTCCTCTAAGTCATGCTTTTTTTTCAAAAAGAGAACTCGTAGGAGCACTTGAAGGATGTGTTCCTCTCTAGCTTTGGAGACAGGCCTGAGCTCAAACTCCCCTCCACAACCTAACACCTTGTAGGGACTCTGCACCTGGCCTCTGTTTCATCTGTCTGTTGAGAATACTAAAAAGTGCACAACAGGATCTTCCCTTTCAGTGGGAGTCACGAAGTAGAAGTTACCAGAAGTTACCTTCTACTTCCCTCAGGAAACTGCCCCCAGGGGCGCCTGGGCGGCTCAGTCCTTTAAGCGTCTGCCGTTAGCTCAGGTCATGAGGGGTCCTGGCATCCAACCCTGCCCCTGGGGTTCCCTGCTCAGCGGAGCCTACTTCTCCCTCGGCCCCTGCCCCCCTGCTTGCGCTCTCTGGTGCTCTCCCGTGCTCGCGCGCTCCCTCTCTCCAATAAATAAAATCTTAAAAAGAAAGAAAAACTGTTCCAGGCCAGTGGTGTGCTGGAGCTGGCTCCTACAAGCTCATGGGAGCAGACTTAAAAATTCAGAATTTGGGGGTTTTGGGTGGCTCAGTCGGTTGGGCGCCTGCCTTCTGCTGGGGTCCTGGTCCCAGGGTCCTGGATGGAGCCCCGCATGGGGCTCGCTGCTCAGTGGGGACCTGCTTCTCCCTCTCCCTCTGCCTCCCTCCTCGCCCGCTTGTGCTCTCCCTCAAAAAAAATTCAGAATTTGGCTAGCCAGTCCTTAAGTACTGCTATTATTAAAATTTAAATTATGTCATGGGGCCTGAGTGGCTCACTTAAGTGGCTGCGTTGAGCTCAGGTCAAGATCTCAGGGTCCTGGGATGGAGCCCCACATTGGACTCCCTGCCTAGCTCATAGTCTGCTTCTCCCTCTGCCCCTCCCTCATGCTTGCGCGCCCACTCTGTCTACTATAAATAAATCTTTTTAAAAAATTATGTCAACTTACAATTGAATAAATTGTATCAAAAACAGAGGTGTTTGATACTAAAATCTGTAACGTCCTAATTACTACATTTTAGTACTATGTGTGCTCTTGGGGTTATTTACCTTTATCGTATTTGTGTGGTGGAAATAGGCTCATATCTAACCAACGTCCTCTTTCAGTCACATCACCTGGCGGCTTGAAATCCACTGCATGGGAGTGTTCACTCAGAAACTGCAAATGAGGGCCTTCTCTCTCCTTTTTTAAAAACATTTACCAATTTACTATTAGTCCATCCTGAATTGAGGTCTTAAAACCCTAAGGGTTGCTAGCATAATAGGTTACTAAAATTGCTTACACCTGGCACATCATTCATTACATGATATTTTCCCAGCAATACACCTCTCACCACTCACATAGTAAAGGTGGAACGGGAGGGACCATTATCAGGAAAGATATATCAGAGATAAATAAACTTGGCTTTGGGCTTGGCGCTAAGTTCAGAGAGCCCCCTTCTACTTTTTTTTGTGAGCAATTAGTATCCATGAAACTAATTTCCAATTATTCCAGCACCCTTTGTTGAAAGGCTCTCTTTTCTCCGTTCAGTTGTCTTTTCACCTGGGTCAAAAACTGGTTGTCCCTATATGTTTGGGTCTATTGCTTGGACTCTTGTGTTCTGTACGTTAAGCTAGTTGTCTTTCTTGATGCTAATCCCATGCTGTCTTTATTCCTGTGGCTTGAAATTATTTTCAAATTTGTTTTTCTTTTTCAAAGTTGTTTTGGCTATTCTAGATATTTTGACTTTCCATAGGAACTTTAGAATCAGCTTGTCAATATCTACAAAAAAACTGCTGGGATTTTGAATTGACATCTCAGCAAATGGAGTCTGCTCCTGAAAGTTGTATTTCATCTACAAGTCTTCTTATGAACAAGTTATGTCTTCTCTTCCCATGTATTTAAATCTTATGTAATATCTCTCAACAATGTTTTGTGATATAGGTTTTGTACATCTTTTGCCGTACAGACATACCTTGTTTTTGTGTGATTCTCTTTATTGTGCTTTGCAGATCTGTGTTTTTACAAATTGAAGATTTGTGGCAACCCTACATGGAGCAGGTCTGTTGGTGCCATTTTTCCAATAGTATTTGCTCACTTCATGTCTCTGTGTCACATTTTGGTATTTCTTCAATATTTCAAACTTTTTCATTATTATTATATTTGTCATGGTGATCTGTAATCAGTGATTATGACTCGCTGAGTGCTCAGATGATGGTTAGCATTGTTTAGCAATACAGTATTATTAAGTTACGTACATTGCTTTTTTAGACATAATGTTATTGCACATTTAATAGACTACAGTGTAAGGGTGCCTGGGTGGCTCAGTCGTTAGGCGTCTACCTTCAGCTCAGGTTATGATCTTGGGGTCCTGGGATCAACCCCGCATTGGGCTCCCTGCTCATCGGGAAGCCTGCTTCTCCCTCTCCCTCTCCCACTCCCTCTGCTTGTGTTCCCTCTCTTGCTGTGTCTCTGTCAAATAAATAAATAAATAAATAAATAAATAAAATCTTTAATAGACTACAGTGTAGTGTAAACCTAACTTTTATATGCACTGGAATACCAAAAAACAGCATTTGACTTGCTTTATCGTGATATTCGCTTTATCGTGATGGGTTGGAACCCAACCTACAATATCCTGAGGTATGCCCGAATTTATCTTTAAGTATTTCATATATATGATGTTATTATAGATAATATTTTTTATCTCAATCCTTGATTGTTCACTGCTAGTATATGGAAATACAGTTACTTTTTAGGGGTGCCTGGGTGGCTCGGTTGAGCGTCTGACTTGATTTCAGGTCATGATCTCAGGGTGTTGGGATCCGGCCCTGTATAGAGCTCTGCACTCAGCCAGGAGTCTCCTTCTGTCTTCCTCTCCCTCTGCCCCTCTCCCCACTCACACACACACTCTCTTTTCTTTCTCTCTCTCTGTAAAATAAATAAATAAATCTTTTAAAAAAATTTGTTTCATATCATGAATTACACTGATTTTTTTCTTTGTCCTCTGACCATGTGTTTCTAATGATCTCTACATGTGAATCTATTCTTCACAGCAGAGTACATAGAGCTAAACACGTGATTTGTAGAGGAAGAAAAACAGCATTTCAAGACTAAATATGTGGAAGAGACCAGTGCCAGCTGTCTTTATGTTTGCTAAAATAAAGTTTAGAGATGTAACTGAGACTTGTGCTCAAAAGGGAAATTAGGTATAAATAATTCAGATCAAAATAGGACTCAGTTGTTGATAAATAAAATCTGTATAAGTGTATGTGGTTTCAAATAAAGAAATAGAACAGATAAAATAAAAAACGTGCATATGTGGAAACTGAAATGCAGGATAGGCATGTATATGTCATATGCATGTGTATATACATATGTCATATGAAAGTGTGTGTCATGATTAAAAATGCAGGTGTGGGGGGTTCCTGGGTTGCACAGTAGGTTGAGGGTCCAGCTCTTGGTTTCAGCTTGGGTCATGATTTCGGGGTTGTGAGATCCAGCCCCAGTCTGGCTCCGCACTCAGTACGGAGTCTGCTTGGGAGACTCTCTTCCCCTGCTTCTGCCCTTCCTGCTTGTGCTCTTTCTCTCACTCTTTCACTTTGTCTAAAATAAATAAATCTTCAAAAAAAGTTCAGGTGTGGATTCCAGAATCAAACATCTGGATCCGAATCCTGTCTTTGACACAATACGTGTGGCCTTGGGCAAGTTACTTATTTAACTACTCTGTGCCTCAATTTCCTAATTTGTGAAATTGAGATTACTTTCTACAGTTGCAGGAAGGATTAAATGAGACAATACATAAAAAGTCCTGGAAACAAAGCAAATGCCTATTAAATATTAGCTATTATTGTGTACAAAATACATGTAAGACTTAATTCATAAGTACTGCAGGCAATTGATTTCATGTGATGTCTACTGCCTTTTTGGCCTGTTTCCACTCCCCATGCCTTTTCTGCACTCCTGGGGAGTGCACCCTCAAAAACCATTTGTTTTTCCTTTAGGGCAGCCCGGAGTGCCTGAGGAATGTTACATATATCCCAAAGTCGGGGGGGGGGGAGGCGTTTGTAGGGTGCCAGCTTCCGCTTTGTCCTCAGCTTGCCTTCTGCTCCCTCATCACTACTATTTCTTCCCTCGTGGCCTTTATGGATGCTCTTTCTTCCCTCTCTCTTTTTAAAAAGATTTTATGTATTTGAGAGAGAGACACAGAAAGCATGAGCTGGGAGAGGGGCAGAAGGAGAGGGAGAGGAATAAGCAGACTCCCTGCCGAGCCCAGACCCCTGTGTGGAGCTTGATCCCAGGACCTCAAGATCATTACCTGAGTGAAAGTAGATGCTTAAACTTTTTACTCTTGGATGCTTTTAGGTATTTCTCTTTATCACTGTTTTGTTTTTTAGCAAGTTGGTTATGATTTGCCTTGATGT